CTTGTATGGATGATTAAGTAAAATCATTCCCTATTCCTGGGAAAGTGTCTAAAAGAGGATTCATAGCTGGTGGGAGGCACTTTTCGGAAGATGAAAGCAATTTTGCATTAGAATGACCTATATTCTAATTACCTGTGCTGGCTTTGGAGTGGCAAACATGACGACAGAGTTGGGAGGAATTCTGAAAACAAGTTGTCAGAATGTCTAAGGAACAGAAGGAAGTGCTGAGAGTGGACCAAGCCATTCATTCATTGGCCACATGGAGGCAGCTACTGGAGTCAACCACACTTGGGCTTATTTGATTTTTTTCAAACTCATGTTTTCTGTCACAGTCTCTCAATTATAAGATTCAGCCTGTGCCTTTTAGAACAGACAAGAAAACTGGGAGTTGCAAAACAATCTGATATAGATGCTCAGGTTATAGCAATGGAAAGTGTGGTTGGCCAGCAGGGAAATACTGTGAGACATGGATTGAAAGTCTCCAACCCTCACCCCATCACCCCACCCATCCCACCCCCACACATCAGCATTTCCTTATTTACAAAAACTACCCAGGTAAAGAGGGGTAATTTCACTCCCCTGGAGGTCTGTACAAAGAGAACTCAGATCTTTAAAACATCAGGTTTCAGGTGGAGGTGAGGAGAGAATGAACCAAACTCTCAAACTGTCATCCTCCCAGGTTAAACATGAGCCCAGTCATCATGGGGCCTTTATTCACACAGGACATGCTAGGGAGGTCCATAACCCACACTCTAGCTCACTTGTTGATATCGACAGTTCACAGTTTACATGCTGAGAGAGATTTATTTCAGCAGTCTAGCTTCTGCCACCTCCCAAGATGTGGACAAGTGACGCAGAGCAAGAGAAGGTTTTTGCATTGTGAATTGGGAAGAAAATACCTTTATCAAATCCCCTCAGCACTTCTGGCAGGAAGTCCTCACTAGGAGAGACACCATTAAGACCTTCAGTGCTAGAGGGAAAAGTGGGGAGGACTGGGGAAAAGGAAGCCCACAAAGGGGCTGGAGGTTCTCAAAACACACAAACATGTCAAGTATTGAGTTTCCAGACTTGATCTGGGCCCAATGTGAAAGCTATTTCATTTCCAAGCCCTAACCTATTACTCCAAAATAATTTTTTCTTGTTTCAGGCTTGACACTGTAGGAAGAACCAGAATGAGCTATGGTGGGTTTTATATATATATAAATATATATATAAATATAAATATATATATAAATATAAATAAATATAAATATATATATATAAAAATATAAATATAAATATATATAAATATAAATATATATAAATATATTTAGTAATTTTTATGAAATTCCCATTTGCTTTTATGGTCCTGTGTGTATCTGTATCTTACAGAACTGAAGTAAGAAGATTGCATCTCCCAGGCTCTCCTGGCCTCCAGGTTTCTGAATGTGGCATACATACATACATACATACATTTTTCCAGTGAAACTTGGTATTATGAGATTTGCGAGGTGGAAGTGAGGCTGAAGCCATCTCATGCAGTAGACACAGGGCTTCCCAGACATGAGTTTCGCGGCAGCCTTGTATTTCCAGGACATTCCACTCTCTGGGGCTTAGAGGAGCTGTGGCATCTGCAGAGGCTTCCTACAGGTTCCTGACCTCTCAAAGTTGGGGGTCTTCACTGACTTGTGCTCCTCCAGACTTCCTAATGGTTTTAAGGTGTAATTCCATGTAACAGACTAAACTCTGTTGAATGTCTACAGACATTTCTATTGCCTGACTGAACTCTGACTGATATGGTGGCTTCTCACCGTTTAGTGTCACCAAGAAGATTTCATTCAGGTGCCTTCGGAAATTCCCTCTAAAAACGCACAGGAAGCTACAGTTTGGGAGAGAACAGGGAACCATGAGTAATGTTCAAATAGAAACTTCTCTCCTATCACAGAGAAAGGGAACTTAAAGTCTTTCCCCAAATTTAGCAATCTCATGAAGAAAACCAATCAGCATCTTAGGACTAAACAATGTCATAAGTTGCTGAGCAACACCTTCGGTTGAAGGTGCTATTGTAACATGTAAAATGTGCTTGAATTACTGGAAATGGTGGGCTATAAAGAGGGTACCATATATTTATTAAGCACCTTTTGAAAACAAGGCATTATGGCAGTCAGCAAAGGGTAGACATAGAAAAAGTATACTTGGCTTTACTTCTGAAAAAGAAGATAAGTATAAAACATAGGATCAGACTCACAGCACGGACTGATCCTGTACAATTCTCATCTTGCCCATTCTGCTGCCTGTGAGAATTGTATTCCTGAACACTTTTTTTTTTTTTTTTTTTTTTTTTTTTTTTTTTTTTTTCCGTG